AAACAAACAAATCCAAACAAACAATTTTTGCTTTTGTACTTCCGCCGGTGTGACCAACATTTTTCTCTATTCGAAACAGTAGAGGATTCATTTGTTCTGGATGTCCTTTCACCTAAAACATTGAACTGTCGTGACATTCGGTATATGCAGTACATCGACAATCTCACCATCTCATAGAGTGTTGCAGCATATTTTAAAGTATGGCTAGGCACAACACGATCATCGTGATCTCCTGTCATTATCAGAGTAGAAGGCCATTGTCCGCTAAGTGGATAACGTAAATTGTGCAAAGGTGAATACCTAAAATTGGGAAAAGTTGCTGAGATTTTTCTTCTTGGAGAGCATTTTTACTTGTATATATATTTAAAATCTTTTGCGTCGTCTGGGTTGCCATATTCACCTATCCATGAGGATGCCAAAGTAAATTTGTGATAGCGTAGCATATCGTAAAGTCTAAATTTTTCATGATTTCTTAATTACCTCGATTGGGGAATGACGATGGTTATAGAGAAAGAATTACCCTACGTCGCCTACGACTGCGCCAAAAAGGTCGGGACGTTGTTGTGCGCAGACTGCTACGAGAAGACCTCCGTTCGAGGTGCCAGAGATGGCCAATCTAAAATTACCAATATCGTTTTATCAAGAAAACAATTGCTAGAAAACGTATTTTTCATTGGTAGTATAGTTATTCTGAACGAGAAATTCAGCAGCAGCAATGAAGTCGTCAAACACATTCTGCTTATTTTTACGCATTCCACCTCTGTGCCACTTTTCTCCATATTCTCTGGAATGTTAAAAGCATTAACAGAGAAAAAATATCTGAAAATCTCACCCTCCACCGCGAATATTTGCCGTTGCAATAATTCCTTTGAAGTGTTTTACAAATAAAATATCAGAAGAGAAATACGGCATATTGGAAAAAGAAAAACCTGTAATATTATCGCTGTGCAAACTAAAGGCAACTTCAAAGTTTCCCTGTATTTTTCATTTACTTCTTGTTTTACTTAAATTAAGTGATTGGTGATAGCTCATTGACTGTGCTTCCGTAAAGCTTTCATGAAGACAAATAAGTGTGCCTAGTTTTTTGACCTTGGGAATGTTACATTTGCAGCTCAGTTTCTACTACTTTTTTATAAAGTAATTAATGAGTCCTGACGACAGCAAAAATGACAAAGAAAAAATATTTGAGGATCAAACCTCTCATTAGATTTCTCGCACAGCAGCGTAAAAGGGTTAGTATAACATATTTGCAAGCACGGATTTTTTGTAAGCTTGCAACGCACTTTACGACTTGATATGATAACTTTTACAGAGTCTCGGTAGACGGACGTGAGGCAGCTGAGCGAATGCACACTCATTATTTGCAGTGAGAATGTTCCATAAGGGAACGTTGGAGGCGTTGGTTTTGTTGCATACTCAACTGTTG